GGATTTTTTAAGGTAGTTTCAATATTTGTTTCAAGTTTAACATGATTGAAATGAGCATTAACTATAATATTATCTAACATGATAATCAGAAATATGTCCTGTTAATATTAGTTGTCATTTATTACAATAAAATTCGGTCACTTGTTCTGGAAATTTGTATAAAAAAAGGTTCTTCTGATCAGGAAATCACAGAAATTATTTGAAATTTTGGATGACAAATTGGATGACATTAGCTCGACAAGACACTAGTTTTAATTAAGTTGTAAATAGCTGGTTACAAAAACCACTTTGTTGTATGAAAGCCTCATAAATTAAATAATACAAATTTAATAGACCGAATTTGCATCTACAATTCGCTGTTGAGGAAGAAAAGAAGGTGATACTATTGGACTTATTGGGCTTAGAAAAGTCACTATCAAACAATTTATTCAAATCTATATTGTCATGCTTTTGAATTTGTTTTTTAAACCTATGATAATACCACATAATTCAACTCTTATGTCTTTCGAAAACCCTTATAAATATTCTATCGAAACAACATTTCTTTTGTATTTTCCATTAATAATTTATTATTTTAATTCATGTGTTTAATTGGTAATAATTTTTTATTTATTCTGTGTATGTAAGAACCATTTAGCAGTAAGATGTCAGTAGAAATTAATGAATTTATTACCTATAATTAATAGTGTAACACAGTTGTGTATTATTAGAAAAGTATCATTGAATTCTATACGCATTATAAAATAGACACAATATAGTATAATAGTATATTATATAGTTAACAGTTTCCAACAGTATCTGATTTTTAAAAGCATAAGCGTTCTTCAATATGAAAGGAGGTGTTTTTATTCTATGGTTTTAGATTCCATTATATTTTATGCGACTTCTATATAATCGACAGTAAGAAAATCACCAAATTTTATTATGTTCAATAATAAAACGACAGCAAAAAAGAAAACATTAATCCAACATGTACTGGACCCACACAGGCATCCCTCATATCGAAACGTAGTTAACAAGAAAATATGTCGACATGAACTAACTTCTAACTTAGATACTCAGTCGTTACAGATGTTTTTTAAAATATTTCTAGTTAGTAAATTGTTCTAATGACCCGAATTGCTTCAGTGAGGAGCATATAATTTTTTATTATAACTACTTTAAACAACAAATACTGCTCGAGAAGACAGAGTTATCCAACTTTTTCCAACAACCTCACATATTAAATGTATTTATGCAGTTTAAAATGAAATACAGTCCGAACGTCCTCACCTCGAACCTGATGCAGCTTTGGTGTACAGGATAGGTGCGCAAATCACATTCACATATGCTTAATCAGAGAAAATAGTTAGTCACTAGAGGAGTCGGGTTCACAAGAATACAGCAGCAACATATTCAACGTAAACGGATGTTTTCTTCACATGATAAAATGTAGTCAAGAGATGTTCCGAATTTCATTTGTAAAATCTGCAAGTCGCTGTAATCCGTCCGAATGGAAGCTCAAGTCACTGTAATGTATCTATGTGAAACTTTTCATATAAATAATCAAATTTTATCTTTATCGTTTTGGGAGACTGTTTATTAGCAACAACATTCTCACAAAAACAATAGCAATTATTCTTCATTTTTAACAATATTTATTTATTTTCGACAAGCATTGTGGCTTTGCATTGAAATATGATATGCCAAAAAGATATACCTATGGTTTAAATTTTTATGTATATATTGTATAACTTATATATATCATTAATGACAATGATCTTACTCCTATATATGTTTTAAATTTTCTAAGAACTATAACACAAGAAATATATTCAAATTTATAGTTATCACTGCGAATATTTACTACAACATCTGTAACTGTTGCTAGTAAAGAAGGGTTATCTCCATCTCCAGCAATTTTATCAACAGCAATTGTCAAAAAAATAAATTTCGAAGTATTAACGAGAGAGTTTGGCAAAAGTAAGGCCAAAGAAGTAAAATTTATTTATAGTTTGCTTAAATAAATTTTTATAACTGCCAAAAGAGTATATGAATATATTATATAAAGTCTCTCGCAGATATGATGAGATTGATTCCAGAAAAAATTTTGTCACTGCGACATCTATGAGTAAACTATGATAGAAGAATGGTGTATGCTTTATTTGCTGACAAAATTTAAGCAAATTGCGTTGTACGAGATTTACAGAAAAGAAAGAAACTGGGATACTAAGAGCTACAGTCTATTAAAATTTTATCGAATATTTGGATAAAGAGAGAGTTTGTACGTGTTTCGTGTCACTCATTCTATTCGGCGAACAAGAATATTGGAGTACATTTCAACGCCATTAAAAGTTTCCTTAAGCAAATCGTCAAGCATATCATTACAACTATGTCATTACAAATGTGCTCTTTCCAATACAAAGTAAAAATTCTACGTGTAAGTGAGGCTAGAAAGAGTACAAAGACAAGAATTATTTATTCCATTTAATTCAAAGGAATAAAGTTTTATTTTTATCGATCATCCATTATGTTCACGTGATTCCCGCCCGAGCTAAGTCTAGCTATTCTCTAAACCAAAATTGGCAATGCAAGTTGATCTTTTAAAATTCATCCTGGTAATCTAAAAACCTTCAATGAACACACTTTAGATACTTTCCGTTAATGATTATAAAACTGTTTAAAAAATTGATTGATCGATTCCGTCGCTGTATTAACTCGAAAGTAGACTATTTTGAAAAAACAAGAATAAAAAATATTTTTATATACTCGTATATAAAATATATTTATAATCATTTTTTTTCCGAAATGTAGTGAACTACAACAGCAAAAATTGATTTTTATATTATTTTAATTAAATGAATTTTTGGCTGACCATACAGGTGTTTCGAGTATTGCCAAAAACCCGTCATCAGTGGCCTTCAAAATAATTCTTGTATTTAATTGTTTGTAAATAATATTTTGAGACTGCAAGTACAAGGAATCGAACTCGTGTCCTGCCAAATTTGAAGCTCAGAGTCAGCGCACCTTAACCAATTGACGGAAAGCCGTACTTGACTTTTATGTTCGCACATTTTTCTGGAAGTTTCGTAATATGCTGTGAAAGTTTTATTAACAAATTCACTTGCTGTATTTATGTACTTTATATTTTTATAAGACTAGTATCATTAGGTCCAGAGCCGGCGCTACATATGCATATTTATGTTTATTTCTGTATATAAAAACAAGTTATATATTTTTTATTATGCATTGTTCTCAATAACATATTTCCGCTTTTGTTGTAAATATGAATAATTGTTGTAATAATTGCATTCTTCCTTTTGTATTTTATTTTTGTTTTTTTGTTTACATTTTTTACATGAGTTTCGAAAGTAGCTAGCGGCCGCTGTAACAATCTCACCCAGGGCGCTGGTAGTGCTTAAACCGACTGTGAATAACTCTATACCGAAAGTTGGTTTATAGTGCATAGTATTACATATTTTATCATATGTAACAGGTTAGCGCACTATGAACTTATAAGTAATTTGCATTTCTTCATTCAAAATTTCTCGTACTCATGCTTAAAACTCACCACATCTGTTGTACTATACATTATGCAAATTAAGACTCTGAGTAGCTATTTCCACCATAGTTTAAGCTTGCCTTTGTTTACTTGGCTCAACAGCTCTACTGATATGTAGGAAATGGTAAACAAACAAGTTAGTAGAGTAAAAATGTATTATAGCGGCGAATGACAAGAGATTATGGGCAAAAGAAGTAGGTTGAGAACTGTTAAGAGAACCAGAGAAAGAGAAAAAAGTCCAAAATGTAAGAAACAGCATTCCGAGCTTATTGGTCATTAGTTGTTAAAATCTTGAAGAAGCAGTTGCAGTTGGCGGAACAAAACAAAGATAAGAACTACTAAACATAGAAGAAAAAACTTTCTTTTTTCAGATAAGTGGAAAAAAGCCACTTTAGCACAAGCTCGAATTCTTGCGGTATATAAGAATACAAAATATTCAATATAATCAGTGTAATCGGACGATACGTGGCATTAATGGTCTTTGTATAATTTGTTGGCAAAAAATTATGTAAAAACATTTGATTGCTTCAAGCCAAGAGTTGTGTGAAAATATGTCAAAACATTAAGAAATTTGGGAAAATGTAAACAATGGAACATTAAGATAATTGTTAATCAGTAAAAAATAAAAAATAAAAAATAAAAGTGAATTTAAGTTTTTAAATTTGAGGTGAAAATATTTCGAAAGTTTTGAATACGATTTGCGCAAAGAATAAAAAACAAATTATGAAAGTTTTTATTACAAAACTTTTTTAATACAATATTTTTGTATTAAATAATTTTATTAATAATTAATAACTACTTAATAAAATAATATTAATTATAAAAATTACTTTGCATTCATGTTAAAGTAAAACATTTTTATGCATAATTAAAAACAAAAAAAAAAAATTATGAGTTTTCAACGTGTCCGCAAACGTCCGCTTAAGAGAACAAGTGAATATGAGACCGATATGGGAAAGTCAGCACTTACAACTACAACATCTTATACAACAACAACAACAAACTCACACACAGCACCAAACGATAGACTTCAACGCAGCATATTAAGCGACAAACTTGATGCGCTTCGCGTACAACAACAACAACGTCAACATGAACAAATTCTAGCGACAGCGTTATTAGCCACAACTTGTTGCCGCGACAAGAACTGTTTTTTAAACGCAACATCAACTAAAGACTTTAATGCAATAAGGGAATCATTGACACCGTCACCTTCCACAAAGTGTTCGCATCGATCCTCTTCATGTCTGTCTCAAAACAGCGTCAGTTCTAATGCCTCCAATAATTCGACATCATCCGGTCGCAGTTCATTGCCATCAACACCTCTACTTAATTCTACGCCAATGTCAAAGTCTATACGGGAAATATCAACTGATTCTGGTGTAGATAGTGAGAATACTTATAAACGTACTATCCATCAGTCGGAACGTTTTACCATTAGTATAAACTTAGACTTGATAAGTTGGGCGTTGTTTTTTTTTGCATTCCTCACGCGATTCTATAAACTCTCCACACCCGCTAATGTAGTGTAAGTAAAAAGATCATATTGATTTTTTGAATATTTTTTTTAATGCATTTTTATCTTACAGTTTCGATGAGTTACATTATGGCAAATATATATCTTTGTACATAAGAAATATATTTTTTTTCGATCAACATCCGCCATTAGGTAAACAACTCATAGCTGCTGTAGCTGGTCTGACCAGCTATGATGGAAATTTCACTTTTACGCGCATTGGTTCTGAGTATACCACAAATGTACCGATATTTTGGTTACGCTTTGTACCGGCAATGTGCGGTAGTTTACTTGCCCCAGCTATATATAAGCTATTGCTAGAATCACAATTGAGCCGAGTTACCGCATTACTGGGTGGACTTTTAATAGTATTGGACAATGCATTACTAACACAGTCTCGTTTTATCCTAATGGAATCAATACTTTTACTTTTCACCGTACTTGGCCTATATTTTCTGCTAAAATTTCAACGTAGTCGTTTCGGTGGACCACGTTGGCTAATCTTTGGCTTTACATCCGCATCATTCTTCGCATGCTCGGCAAGCGTGAAATATGTTGGTGTACTCTCTGGAATATTAGCAGCTTATTTAATGTGTTGCTACCTCTGGAACTTACTGTATGATGCAACGATCACAAGTAAGTTGAGTTGAAATATATAAAAAAAATATTGCTTATACCTGTTGTTTTACTTAACAGATGTACAACTAATACTGCAAACACTGAGTCGTATAGTCCTATTTGTTTTTGTACCAATATGCATATATATATTTATATTTTATATACATTTACACACATTGCATAAAGCCGGCCCACATGATAGTGTTATGACAAGCGCTTTTCAGGCTTCATTAGATGGAGGATTGGCTTCTATTACACGTGGCCAACCATTAAAAGTGGTACATGGCTCTCAAATAACTTTACGACATACACATGGACGCACATGTTGGCTACATTCACATGCTCATGTATATCCGGTACGATATCCAGACAAACGTGGTTCTTCACATCAGCAGCAAGTTACATGCTATTCCTTTAAAGATGTTAACAATTGGTGGATTGTTAAACGACCAGAAAAAGAAGATCTTCTTGTAGATAGCAGCCCAGATGAAATACGACATGGTGATGTTATTCAATTAGTGCATGGTATTACAAGCAGAGCACTTAATTCACATGATGTAGCTGCACCATTGACACCAATTTGTCAGGAAGTCTCCTGTTATATTGACTATGAAATTAATATGAAAGGAGAGCTACTGTGGCGGGTTGAAATTCTAAATAGAGAAACGGTATGTACATATATATAATTTCTATATGCTTATGGAGAGATATCCATTTCATCGGGTAATCTCACTTCAATATGAAAAAAGATATTGATTAAGTTCAATATTTTAAGCAACCTTTTTCACTACTCTATATACTGATAAAACTTAGTTTTTTAGATCTCTGACTTTAAAGTAGTAAACTTTTTACAGTGTTCAAGCTACGACATCTAGCAAAAAATGTTATATATAATTAGATCATATTACGGAATGTTTATTATAAAAAAACTTACCACTTTAAAGCCCGATTAATCAAGATCTAAGCTATATCGACATATAATGTATGTAGTTGAAAAAGTTATCAGAATATTGAATTTTACCAAAATCTGTTGATAAGTCGTAGAACTCGGAAATCAGAGTTGTGATAATTTTATTATAAATTAATTTCCATCACATTTTATTTAATTGCTTTGTTTTATTAATCCCTCTTAAAATCTTTAAAGCTGAATTGTAAAAAAATTTAATGGTAAAAAAATTCATATATTTGCTTCTTTATTTCCTAGGTCTAATGAGCAAATTAACATAATCTTGTTCATTTTGATCTTCATAATTTTCACATCTCAAGATATGATCTTATTTTATATATGTTAATGTTTTATTAATTATATTTTGACGAAATTTAGGAATAAAGCACTTTTTGTTTTCAATACAAAACAGAAGACATATGTTACTATCACGATTTTCTAGCGTATAATAGAATAGAAAGGAAATTGAATAGAATGGAAGTTATTAGATTAGATATTAGAGGTTTATCTGAAACAAATAACAGAGATTCAATCTTAAAAGTGAAGCCAGATTATTTTTCATTGAGGGGATATTAATTACAAACCGGGAAAAAAAGTCATTCGTACTGTAAACAAAACTGGGTAGTCACAAAAAATTTGATCCAATATTCTTATTTAGATTATTTGGAATTCTTGAAATATTCTAGAAATAAGTTTTATCATTTTAAATTCTTTCAGATCTTAACGAAATTTTTTAGCTACAATAAGTACACAAAAATATCTTTTCCGACAGATATCAAGAAATTATAATTTAAATTTTGAGAACCTCTACAGTCCGCTATAGACTTATAATCTATAAACTTTCTTAAATCATCATAAATCATTTATACTTTATATATTTAAATTATATTGCTTTAATCCAAACTTAGAAAACTTCATATACACT